GATGATGATGATGATGATGATGATGATGATGATGATGATGATGATGAGCATCACCATCATCATCTCTCCGACTAGCATTATTGCTAGCTAGTTGCCTATCCTATACCCGGTGACCATTTGTTGCGGGTAGGATGCACCCTTCCATGGTCAAAGCCCCTCTAACGATGTTGCATCCACCGGCCAGCTTTGCCGACTGAAGTCCACTTTCCCTGCCTTGCATCGCACATTGTCTCAGTAGGACCAGGGGGTCCAAGCGCCGTGCTTCTTCATCTTTCGTCTCGTGCATGGTACCCCGATCCATCGCCATGGCGCTGGTACGGCAGCGTGATGCAGAAAAGGGGGGGCCCAGCGAATGGAACTCCAAGCTGTTAACTGTGGAGAATTCTTGGTTCCCGGACCTTATGACTTCTCAAAAAACACAAAGCTCTAAACATCTCTAAAGCATTGCAGCCGAAGCCCCTGTTAGAACTGCTGACTCAACTCCCAAAAGGGTACTTCCCCCTACGTGAACTGCTGCCTGGGATGCGTGCCTTTCCACGTTGGTCTCGGGGCCTTGGGGGTTATACCAGTTGCTTTGTAGTCATAGCATCCTGAGAGGCCAACAGTTTGGCCAGATCATGCAGGCCTTCGCAGGCAGGATTTGGCACAGCTTTCCGGGAGCCCTAAGAAGTGAAAACTGGGCAGTTTGGCTGGGACACTTTGTAATTTCCACCTATATGTTTGAGCAGCACGGCCATGGTCAGCGAAGCCAAGCGTTTCCTGCCAGTGCCTCAAATTTTGCCGGACATCGCATTGAACTGGTCCAATCTGGACAGTGGTCTTGGACATGCTGATCATGTTTCACATGTTTTTGGCCTTTTACCAAAAAAGCCAGCACGAGCTGTAGAACACATGTATGCCATAGCCTCCATCTTACAAACATGATGGAAGTGGACGGCCATTGTCCACTTCCATGATTGTAGGGAGAGTCATTGCAACTCTAGCCGCCCCCCATGGACCCAGCACCATCGGGGGGGCGATGGATGAAACACCAGGGAGGCATGAAGCAGGGCACCAGGGGGCTATGGATGTTGTCCCATCACCCATGGCTTCATCCCATCAGCTGGGTGTCTCACCAGGAGTGTTCAATCACCTCAGCACCTCCGTCCCTCTCCATGCGGCCCCCCCAGGAATGGCATGCTGGTGTTCTCCGGGACCTGTTCCAAAGGATCATGCCCCAGAAGGAATGCGAAGCAAATGGACCTTGAAGGACAGATCCCAAAGACCTAACACGACAAAAGTCTTAAGGTTTCTGAAGGTGTCAGTGGCACGGAATGTAGCATCCTCACTTACCCTAAGCCCGTGCCTTATACCAATGTTCTAAGGACTCGCGATGCAGAATTTGCAAGTCTTAAACACTCCATGTATCTCCATGTATGGCATATACTTTGGGGTGCTTGCACTTGGTTCAATGTAGGTAAAATCTTCTACATATACATGATTATACATGGAGTCTCTGAGTGATTGGGCCGGGCCACCCTGGGCCATTGGGTCGACCCGACAAATCACGGAGAGAGCGTCGCTGATGTTCCACGCCCAGCGCTGGGCGCCCCGGCGGAGATGCAGCGGGCCTAGGGATGCGGGCCCAGTCTGAGAAGGTCTGGTGCGGCAGGTGGAAGGCCTCCAAATCCTTTACCGTGTTGGAGGGGCACTGGACAATTCCATGAGTGTGTGAAGGAGACTGGTCTGGAAAAGGGGCGACTTTCCGCAAATGATCCCACCAGATGTTCGTTTCTGAGCCGGCAGTGACGGCATCATTGGAGGAAAGAGATGAAGTGGACATGAAATTGCGGCAAAACAGCCGGCGTTCCTAAAGCTCTGCTTCCTGCCGCTCTAAGAGTCTAGACTTGGACAGCTGACCAAATGTGAAACTGTTCTTGTTCAAGAACCTTCAAGCCAATTCCTTGGGCACTACCTTTCACAACAGAACCTCCGGCTTAGCGCTGGTCGTACAGTTTGTCAAACCACTTGGACCCCAAAGCCGAGAAAGTCAAAAAAAAAACAGGTTGAACCCCACCCCACCACGCCAAGAACCACGACTCCGTCGGCTTCGACCTTGGCCACCCACTTTCGAACCGAGGCGCTGTGGCAGCTGCGGCCCCGATGCCGACTGCGGCGCCGGCCCCGATGGCTGCTGCGCGTGCGGGAAGTTCGGCCGCGCCTGGTGCAGCTGGTGGTGCAGCCAGGGCTGGAACAGTTTGTTCGACTGTTTTCTTCGAATTGTCCACCTTTCTATATTTTAGAGGCCTCAGCAGGATTTTGCTCAGTTGGCCGAAGCACTCTAGGGAGCTCAGCACCGCTGAAATTTGGACGCTCTCTCTTCGAGAATTTGGCTGCATACCGCCTCTGCAAACCCAAAAAGAGAAGCCCTCCAAAATGGGTGGAAGCCTCCATTTCAGGACAGGTTTTGCTACCCACAGCTGATCCCCGTTCTCTAACCAACCCGCATACTGCCTCTGTAAAAGTAACTAGTCATATTGCTGTACCCAAAGGCTCATTGGACCCTCATAGCTACAGGGTTCTGACCCATGTATACAACTTACAACCAGCAGCAGTTTGAGACTCCAGGAGCCTGTGGATGGGGAGTGTCCCTCTCTCCACCGCTGCCCATGCACCTCCGGAACCGGCGCATGCGGCGCGTGCGGCGCGTGCAGCGCTTGAGGCGGCGCGTGCGCCTGATTGACGCCCGCAGGGGGCGCAGGCACGGCCAATCCACTGAAAAGAATCCAGTTGGAAACGACGATCCGGCAATATCTCAAGGGTTTGTTTGGAGAGATTCACTGGCACACACTCACATGGATTCACCACAATTCCGCACCAGCCAAAGCTGAGCTACCCCAGCTGGCCCAGGCCCGGCAAAGGACCTGGCGTCGAAAATGGTGAAGCTAGAAACAAGTGGATGGCTCAAGCGTAAGGGCCCACGCAGGAACCTACAGAATTAGCCATCATTGATCATCATAGCAATCTTTTCCATGTACCAGGAGAGCTTGGGAGCACCCTACTTCTGAAAAGCAATGTCCCAATGAGATAGTCATTGGCAGGTTCCATGGGTAGAGCCACACAAAAAGAAGGGTGCGAAGGGTGCCAAAGGATTGACATGGATTCGAGTGGCCCCTTTATAATTGCGGCAATTATACCGTATACACCAGGAGTCACAAAGGAGTGGTGTTTAGTCCCGAAGTGAGTGGATCATGGGCATGCCTAATCTCCATAGATCGCACCCCTTCGTGACTGCTGGTAATTAATTATTCTTGAATATGTTTGGCATGTTTGAGGGGGGAACCATCCTTCTGCCTACTTGGGGCCACTCTCCTGCACGAACGCGATGAGTCGAGCACAAGGATGCTAGACTGCTAGACTTCTTGGCCGATTTGCATCGTACCGTGCAAATTGAAGCGATCTCATCTTCACAAGGCTCTACGTTTCCATCATCACCACTGGACAATGATGTTTTTTGAACCTGGTTCTTGCCACAGTGAAAAGAATATTGATGCAATATCACAGTGAAAATAGTGTTAATGCAATATCACAGTGAAACGAATATGAATGTAATATATTGGGTCTATTCCATTGCCTGTAACAGTGGATGATGATGATGGTTAGTAAAGGCCTGGTCCAAAAATTGCGATAATTGTTTACTGACTGTTACAGGTAAGTTCGGACAGACCCTAGTAATATATATTAATATATATATATATATACACCAGTACCCTCCAACAGGCTGTTAGTTGAGGGTTGTTGGACCCTAACAGTTCTCAATTGGTGACCTGTCGGAGGGTCCTGGTATATTGCATGCGTTTAGCAACCAGCGGACTGTATTAGGTGGACTTGGTTCCATCGAAACCCTTAGAGATCAACCTCAACGTCCCCGGCGCACCCGGTCACGTCCGGCCGCCGTGTCGGGAGTGCTTGTGGCCTCAAAGCGCCGGGTCCGGCGAGGGGCGATGCAGCGAAAGGGGGGGGTCACTAAGATCCTGGGTGAAGTCATTCGCCACATAGAAGCCACTGCTCGATATGGCCAAGTATTCAAGGTGAGGGGCCCCAATCAAGAACCACAACCATGAGGCTCCAGTTTCTCGCAAGGAGCACCAATGAATGAGGTTATGCGCTTCTACTCTACTCATGAAACTAATTACTCTGTTCAGAGCCCTTTTCTCAAACTTCCAATATCTGCCAGGGTGGCGACACGTTCCAGCAGAACCCGATAAGGTTTCGTCCAACAATGTGATGGTGTAGCATGGTGTAGCATGTGTAGCCATACAGGTCCGCTTGCCCATGGCGCGTCCAGCTTCAGCGTGTTGGGCGCTACCAGGTGCAAGTGTTCACTGACCCCTTGCTTGATGCCAAAGGTTGTGAAACACCTCCCCCCCTCCATCCGCCGTGGTGCAACGAAGCGCAACCGTCTCCAACACCGTGGCGCGTAACCCGCCGTGGCGCGATACATCGCCCAAACGGCGTCTCGCCCACGGCGCGCCTCGCCCTCGCCCGTCGACCCGATGTCTGAGGGTCCAAGCAGGCCAGACACCAGCACTGGTCCCTGAGGGGCCGACGCAGCGAGGGAACGAGCGGACGACGAGCGAGTCGGTCGACGAGCGAGTCGGTCGAAGCGCCATGTTCATGCGATTTCGACACAAAGCTGGTGGAGGACGCTGCAGCTCGTCAAGTCAAGCGGATACCCCTGCTGAAGGCAAAATGGCCATGGATGGCCTCCCAGGCATGATTATCCATGGTTAGCATCCTTTAAGTGTTGGGACTTGATCCACACCCATTGCACCAAACCCTAAAAACGGCAAAAGCCATCATATCCAGCCTCTTGACCACCGGAAGAGACTGGCAAAATACCTGTGCATTGCACCAGGTTGAGACCATTCTTTTGATGGTTTCAGGGCCAATTCTTTATAGAAGAACCTCCGAACATTGAATTGACCAATGCAACTTAGGATGCCCAATGGAGACCGCTATTGTTATGCCAATATACTATCATGCCACTATCTCTTAGATACATCATAGATACATCGATACACGAAGAACAACACGCAGTTTTTTAGGGGTTTGTCATGGTTTGTCCATTGGCGACCCCGAACGGAAGCAGCTAGCGGAAGCAGGCACCGCGCCTGGCTTCGCCAGCCCATGGGCTGGAAGGACCCGGGCCGCATCCTGGACGTCGGCGCTTCGGAGCTGGCGATGGCCTCCAAGCTACTAGCTATGGGATGTTACTAGTAAGGCACTTGTTCCTAGTAGCGATGCACTTCTTCCTAGTAGCTTCTTGTTACTACTAGTAAGGCACCTGTTACTAGAAGCGATGTTATAATGGATTCTCTGGAACAAGTTGCATCATCCTGTGTGTCCAATGTCCATTGATCTGCTCGAACCCGAATCATTTGTCGGAAGCTCTTTGTATCTCTTTGTGTTTCCTTGGGGTTCTCCTATCACTTTTCTTTTTTCTGGCCCTCTGACCACAAAGAATTGCTGCTATTTATAGGTAAGGGGCCTATGCTGTTCCCTAGATATGTTTCTTGGAGGAATGCTTCTTTGGGTTGTAGGGAGGTTCCTGGCAATGCTCCTTCCTCCTTGCAAAAACAACGCGAAGGGTGTGCTGCAAACAAGTGTTTGGAAGATTACCGTGATGTTGTTTGTCGTGGGGCACTAGCCACTGGAAGCTAGTGAACACCAAAAGCCACACAAGCCAGGACAAACAACACCACTAAAATCCATTTTAAAAAAGTCAAACATAAATGAGTCCATAAGTAATCAAACGTATTTAAGCATCTGCATTAGTCACCTCTTACATCGCGTGCCCAAACCGGCTTGCCGTAGATGAAAAGGCTCCTGCAGGACTTTTCCTCTCAGGATCTCTTTTGCGGTTCCGAACGCATGGAGCCAAACGCCGTGTGAAGCGGCCAGGCACCGTGCTCGGCATATTCGGGGTCTGTGGGCGCTCTGAAGAAGGAACCCGACATCTGTCCAAGCCTTGCGCTCTTGAAGCTTCTGAATGGGAGCCTCCCATGCCACCAGGCATCGCCAGCCCATTCGCCAGCTAACCTCACCCTTCCCCCCGAAGCGCGTCCCTGCCTGCCACTGGCCTAGGTCATTCTGTCTGAGCCCTAAGTCACTGCAGTCTGAGCCAAATGCCGTACAGATCGTCTCTGCAGGGGCCGGGCACTGCTGGGACGTGCTCTTTAATTAATGTATGCTTTCATGGTTCGCAAGCGCCATCTGGAAGGAGGAGCTGCAAGTGAAGGCGATGAGTGACGAAGGCCCAAGACATCAGAAAATTGCAAAGCTCATTCAAAAAGCCTCTCATTTGATCTAATGTCATCGTAAAATTGTTAAATCCTGACGCTATCGTTGAAGTTACCCACATCCTCCAAGCAACACGAATTCCGAGCGCACCAAGCCCGGCGCATTCTTGAGGCATAAAAATCCATCACTTCGCCCGTGCAAACCTCGAGCCCTTTTTTGTCGGATCACCTCGACTTCGGCGCTGCGCCTGGGCAGCGAAGATGCACAAAGACACGCATGAGGCAGGACATGCATGAGGCAGTTGCAATCGAGAAGGATCTAAAAGGTTCTAGAACGATGGGGGTGTATTGTCCAGAGAGTCTCTGTTCGAAGCCCATCCCAATCTGTCAGATTCTGTCAGGACATATCAGGACATATCTTCCTGGGACTTGGTGTTCTGCTCCTACGGATGAACCTCCCCTCGGATCATTGAAGGATCTGAGTCTTCATGATTCCATTTATCGAAGTTCCTCCTGCAGGTTGGACAGTAGGATGCACCCTGCCAAACAAAGCCGATGTCCAAGTGTCAATGCAGTGGAACAGTTTCGTCAGCCTCCACTGCATCGAAACCGATGCCAGCCATTACATCAGAGGGCCACAAAAAAGGCGATGGTTCATTGCATTTTGATTTTTTAGTGTTGCTTGAAGAATCGTTGGTTCTTCTGTGGCTATCCAGGACGTGAACCCTTTCAGAAGCCTGGTCGTGGTGGTGGTGGTGGTGGTGGTGGTGCAAAAGTTGCAGTCAAATATGGCCTGTATGTATGACAATGAAGGAAATCCGAAACATGTGATGGAAGCCCAAATTGTCATGCAAATCGCATTCACACGTTTCACCTCCCTGCCACCCAAAGCAGCAACATCTGTGAAAACTAGGCCCACATGTCCCCAACACATTGAGAGGTTATACATGAAATCCAAATATAAGGTCCAATCAATCACTTCTCTGTTCTTGGGGGAGGTTCAACCCTCAACCCCGTGTCCCGCCTGTGTTTGCAGAACTCCTTGGGCCTTTGCAGTCACTTCGCTCAGGGCACCCAAGAGCTGCGGCGGCGCCGCCAGCGACTGCAGAGGAAACACGGCGGAGGACTGATAGTCTTAGTGCATCATTCTGTCGATTGATGTGCTCAACGCTACATTCAATTTGGATACAAGGGGTTACCAACTTTAATATACTTTCATACAGCGTCTTCTCAGCTACCGAGGCGGAGGTTGGGGTGGAGATTTCACGAATTGCCATTCGGACTGGTGCAGCCCCGGGATGTGTGTGGGACTAAAATGGATCGAGCGAATCTGGTGATTTCTGGCTTCACAAATGTCTGGCTCCTGAGAAAGGACGACCAAGGGCCGCTGTGTCGACACCATGTCCCATCGGGCCGCCTCAGCGATGGCCACGTCCATGGCGAGGTCTGGCGTGATGCGGTCGTGCTGCATCTCAGAGCAGAGGCGCCGCACCTGGCGTGCCGCTGGGCGGCTCGGCGTATCCCAAAGGATCAAAGACGCCCCAAGAAGGATGACATGGCGACCAAGGAACAGCACCAAGCCTGTGAGTTCAAGGCTGAAGTTGAGATGATGACACCATCTTAAGAGCTGTTTCAGGTATTGATCTATACAATTCTATCTACAGCACCGGCAAGCTGCTCAATCATGGGCGAGTTGAGGAAAATCATGTCCTCCTTTTGCCACCATGAACTACTAGCTGTGTAGTAGGTGTACGTTGTGGCCCGCTGAGCTCAGGTTGGGCCAAACCCGCCACTGCCCTCAAGTTGTGTGGACCAAAAAACATGGTGATTCCCTGTTGTTCTGGATGGCACTTCTCAATTCAAGTACAGTAATATAGGGAATAGGGAACCCCAAGCAGTGTTCTGCAAACTGTCCAAGCCAATCCGAAACACCAGAATAACTAAATTCTGTGGAGGGCCGCAGGCCCATATCCAGCAAAAGAACGTGATTCGACACCGATGCTTTGGAAGTCTGCGATGCTCCGTGACAATTTCCTCGGCCCCAATACTGGCTTCCATTGATGGATGTATGTACTTACAGATCTTAGAGATATATCATGATTGTGGGCGTGCCCGACCAATGCCACCCCGCCAAAAAAGGAATCGGATCTGCAGACTCGTCCGATCTCCGCCTAGAGTCTAGAGTTTCTGTTTCGACCCCCCTGCAGACCAACCTGTGCATCCTCACCACGTACAGCGGCGACGGCTGCACAGTAGGAGACCACATCTGGTCGCAGGGACCACCTGGGAGCGAACTCGCGCCTCTCTGAGCACTGCTGACCAAAAAGGACTGAAACTCTGAGGCGCCATTGTACGACATGGTTCCTTTAGGTGAATGAGCGGCAACAAAAACTGCCCGCAAAGAACTCGCATCACAATGGGGTAATACAATGGGTGTGATTCATTGATTCATAATCTTCATAGTAGCAACATGGATCTTGAGTTCTGTATCTGGGCCAAGCAGTCCAATGCACCAGCTGACCCACAGCGACCCCATTACAAACCCATGCTTCTTGCGTCCATGTCAGCTTGTGAGGGTTCCAAATGCGCGGTTTTCTGCACTCCACCCGTCCCTCAGTCATGTGTCCAGGAACTCCTGCGGTCTCACCCTGTCGCCTTGATCGAGCCCCTCTCCAAAGCTCCAACAACGTCCGCCAGCGCCCAGCCAGGCCATGCAGTGCGGCATTCAGCACCTCAGGCAGCAGCCTACACGCGCGCGCGGAGGGGCCTGAGATACCTACATTGTGGTAATTCCGTGGCACCTTGGCGACACTGCCATTCACAACGGTGAAGCAAGGGGGGGCGGTGACGACACTCTTCCAGCTTCTGTGTTTCAACATGCCAGTAGAGCTGGAATTGATGTCTCAGCGGCCTCATCCGGCCAACTGCCTCTTTGGGCTGCCCCTTGGCCAAGCTGACATCGTAGAGTCGTAGAGTCATAGGGATAAGCTTGCATACGAAATCGGCAAAGACATCACGGCTCCCCCTCAAAGCCTTGTGTTGCCGTGCCTTCGAGACGCGGCAAGAGGCGTCCAATGTATTCCAGCCCAACATATCATCCTCGCACTGGAGATGTAGAGGCAGGAGCAGGCCACTTCCACGCTGGGCAGCTTGAAGCCTTGCTTGAAGGAGTTCGCCACTGATCTGCGTCGGAAGAAGCAAAGGCGAGCAAGCCTACGTGCCACAGAAGGAAGCGGGAGCTGCTTTACATCTAATTCAGGTCTGCTGCAGTGGGGGTTCCCTGATCCTGGTTATCCACCCAAAGCAAACTTGCTCATACTTCGACCTCACAAGGATGTCCCACATAGTTGCCACAAGTCCTGAGCCACAAACCAGTCCGCAAAAACTTATTGGAACACTTCATAAGCCGAAGCCTGGCAGCCTGGTCAAGTCAACCCAAATTAGAGTAACCACCCGTGCCGCGGGGGTCATGAATGGAAAACTCTTCCACAGCCCAATCCAGCGCATCACTGCAACCCGCCTCAGGTCATTCCTCCATTTTGAGCTGGGGTCTCACATCAACCAACAGTTGCCACAAAAATTAGTGATATGCATTCCTGACCAAACATGAGCAAACCCCACCCTATTAAGGTTGTGGTAGCGTTGTTCATCTGGGATCTCCGTTCATGCAAAGCCAAGACCCTTGTGAAGGGGGGTTCCACCCCCATTCCGTACCCCCAATAGGGGCGCCACGATTCCGCGCCACGCGATCAGGGAACCACCAGGTCAGGTCGATGATCAGAGAAGGTGTTCAAGAGCTGCATCAGCTGCGACCATTGGGCGGCCTGGCGGGATTCTGCAGAGGTGACAAATGGTGACTGATCCTGCAGAGCTCGAGGTGTTCTGTGGTTGCAGCGTCTGCACATGTTTGAACCAATCTTGTCCTCATTGAGCTACAATCATGGCCATGGCCATGCCTCAAACCACCATGAGGATCTATTTTTCTCATGATGCCGGTGTGTTAGAATGCAAAGCTTCGTCAACCAAGGGACTTTGTCTGCCGTTCCGTTTTTGCCACAAGGTGTTTTGATGCCTTTTCTCTCGCGATGAAGGGGAAAACTTCAAACCGCGGTGGTGTTGCGACGTCGGTGTCGAACAAAAAACGGGGCCCATTGCGGCTTGGCCGACTGCCCACGGACTGCATGAACTGAGCGAGGAAGCTTGGAGATTGACAATACCTTGCTGTAGATTCATTGGACGGGGTTGCCATATCCGCTCACTCCGGGAGCTTTTTGAAAGGAGTGTTGCAGAATCTTGGATCCATACACGAAAATGGTGTCTTTGAGGCCCAGCAAGACCTAATGGCCCTCCGGGTTTTCTGGCTTTGAGATATGGCCAAACTTACAGTATATTTCTAAGAGCATGGGTCCTCGAAGTGGCATTCTACAATTATACTTTGGGTCCACCTTGTTACCAGTAACAGTGGATGATGCCTTTATCTAAACTAGTGATTTGCTTGCTTACTGACGGCTCTACAGGCAAGTTTGGTTCGTCACGACACACGTCACATGGAAGTGGATGTCACCCCCTGTTCGTAAAGGACAGTCATCTTCCTTTCGGGACCATGCCATCCACATAACCATGATCTTCCATGTGTATTACATCCAGCCATTTTCCACGATCTTCTTGATGTGTTCGTCCGAGTGTATACTTTTGATCACGGTTCTAAGGCCTCGCGCCTTCTACTTCGAATCGTTTCTCCTTCGGCTTAATGGGCAGGGAAAGACCGTTTTCCGTGGGTCCATACGGGACGGCGCTTTTCGTTACAACGCTCTGGTTGGTGCGTCCACCTCTTCCTCTCTACCTTTGAGCAACAAGAACCGTTAGGGTGAACATCACAATAATGTGTCATTTTTGTGGTGAAGGCCCGATGCTTTTATACAAAGGTTGTTCAGAATGTTTCACTGACCCCGCACTCTCATCCTGTTCCCAGTTCTTCGGCCCAAGCTACAAATCATGAGGCCGAGTGCAACGGGTTTGCATAAACAAAGAAGAAATGCAAAAGGCCAAGCAAATCCGTCAATATCCGTCATACAGGTTCAGGTGCAACAAAAATCAAACACCCAATAAACGTATGTATATGGTTATATAACTATATATATATACAGGTGAGGTTTGAAATCCGTTATTTTTCTCAATGTGTTTCTCAGGTGTCAAGATCTTCGGTGTTCTCCACCACTCGGTGCAGTCAGAGCAGAAACTTGCTATGGCATATGTCAATGGTTGTTATTGATTCTCTTTGTACAGTATGCAAGCGGGGCGGCGGAATGAAATTGGTCGTCAGGCACAAACGGACGCCCATTCAATGCCGTTTTATGAATATAATAAAAGCTAACACTTAAAAGCCTTTTAGACTGTCAAAAATGAAGGGTTTTGTTTTTACCCGATGTTGTTTGAAACAAAAACGTATTTCAGAAGGTATAGTATAAACACTCCGACTCACTAACATGGCAGTGGAAAATGGCCCGTTGGATGACCATTCTCCTCTACAAACAGGTGGTTTTCCACTTCCATGTTATTAGTGAGTCAGAGGGTATTTTCGACTAGCTGGGGCAACCTGACTTCCACTGGACTCGCCAGCGACATGGCTCCGGCGGAACGTGCGGGGCGCTGTGAGCATCCGGTGGGTGAACGCTACCCTTTTCCCGAACAAAGAACCTACAACTCTGGCTAGCGGCTAGTAGAACGTCAGCTTCCATGTCGTTCAGCTTCGATGTTGCTTTTTGCAGCTGAACCCCCCCAGAGACCGAGATAGACTTCGTAGGCCAAGCGTCGGCAAAGTATGGTACATTCTGAACAACGGTAGTGACGTAATGCGGACGCCACCGGGCAGAGGTCATTTGACTGGAACATCATCGTTTTCGGGGTCGTCTACTAATCTATCATCTGTCACTCAAATCCATTGTAAAAAAGAACACGCATAAAAGCTGTTACTACTGCATTGCCATATCTACATCAATTTTGTTCCAAGGCGGATATTGAAGAGCTCCAGTTTTTGTTTGTTCACTTTCAAGAAGGACATCCACCAGGCTTCCAGCTCCAAATTTAGAGCCTCCATACTGACTTTATGCCAGTGAGACTCGCAGGTGTGTGTCTTCCAACCCCCCTGTCCATAGTGACAGAACCACCTGAACAGTGGAAGGTTGTGGGTGGACATATTGTCAACTCTGTTCAACCGGACATTGTCACAGGCACAAGTCTAACAAGATTGCAAGCGTCGCAAGGCTGCAACATCACCTGCCTTGTGTTGCACATCGATTCAGGTAGAGAAACATCAAGGCGCACCCCCATAACTCAACCACAACATACATCTGATACATAACATACACATAAACCCGCCAAACAACGACTGGCAGTATTCAGTCAACTTTAGCAGCTATACCGCTATACGTAGATACTGGGGCTGCACTGAACATCATCACCCATTCCTGTCTCAGTGCGCACGTTCGGCTGGCCACACTCCAATGGTCCAATGGCTGTTTCCAGGAAGCCCAGGCTGGCCTACGTCACCAGTTAGCCAGCTTTCGGCGACAAGAATGTCTGTGACACACACACAAACTCAAGTCCATTCTTGCCTTTCGATCCCCATGTCAACGGTTGTTCTCACGGTGTTTGATCTCACAAAGGTCGCTTAAATCCACCTTCAGCAATCTAACCCTCAGACTCACAAACATGGAACCCTTGGAGGACGACTTTCCCTTCACACAGCGGGGGTCCTATGTTGGACAATCGGAGTGTAAATGAGTGTAAGATAGTGTAAGAGTCTATATTCGCGGCTGTCCTGGCTCCCTCCGGATGCATCAAAGCCGCCAAAAAAGGCCTCTTCATGTCTCTAGCTTCAAAACCTGAGAGCTGTCGGACAGTGGCGTTTTTCAAACCGAAACGCACGCACGGCATATGAAGCACCAAATCGCGCAAATCGTAGAGAGAACGTCTGTGCCGGACAGTTTTGGCGCGTCTTCCTGGGACACTGGAGCAACACCCACGAGAGGGCAACAAATGGGGACGACACAACCCTGCGACGGCGACGCGGGCAAAAAAAAACTCGAAGGCCACTGGAAGGAAGATATATCAGATATCAATACTCAATACACTCGCTGAAAATCATCATGGAAGTGGGAAACCACCTGTTTGTAGAGGAGCGTAAGCTGATCCAACGGACCATTGTCCATGTCCATGATTGTTCCAGGGAGTGTAATTAACGACGTTCATTAGTTACCCAAACACTCCATGTAATTATGCCATATATGCCTATATACATTGACCCCCCAAACCACCCCAATGTAGGCAAATATGGCATACATGGAGTGTTTGGGTTATGTTCATTGGTCAATTCGATATGATTCGACAGCTGGCAGCATTCGTGCCCCGATACTACCGCAACGACCTGCCTTCGACGTGTGGCCGCCCTCCGGCGAACTGATGTGCAAAAGAACATCCGGTTCGAGCGCACCGCTGTCTGCAGGCATTGATTCTATATGCAAAGAACACGCGCAAAAAACTCGTAGTTACAGTGTGGGGTCAAGAGTGCCATATGGAGGACAAGCTAACATCAGCGTTTCTTCTTCCGTGGGAGGTGGGAACTGGCTGACATATGGAACTTCCACTTGAGTACTGACCCTCAGCTCGCCAAGAAAAAAAAACGCAGGGTCTCCTGCCTTCACCATCTCTAGCCATCCATCCATTCCGAGCCATCTCAGCCATCTCAGTCTCTATTCCCCGAGGCAAGGCCCAACTTTGGCCATGGCACCGGACTTCGATCAGGGGATCTTCCTTCTCGATCTTCTCAGGCGTTGCTTTTTGCGGCGTGGGTGGAGCAGTCCTCGGCTCCTCCACGCTCTCGCTGAAAAACTCCCGCTCCGTGTGCGTAAGCAGGCCATCGCTGCTGCCCAAATCCCGGTCCAGGATCAGCTGCCTCGAGTGGATTTGGAGGGAAAAACTGCCTCTCTGAGAGAGAGAGAGAGAGATGGGCACGCACCTCACAGAAATAAACAGGCTACAAACACTTCAGGACCTACAAGCCTTCTGGACGAAAGGAAGAAGATGTGATGGCTACCTCCCAGCCTCCTAACTAAGTGATGCACAATGAACACAAAGCCTGCATTGGCCTCAACATCAACCACAATAAGATCACTTTCCATATCTTTGCATTTGTATAACATCACCTTATAATGTAGGCTGTCGATGATCAACCGCCGATGTTGTACCATATCCTACCATTCAAGTAAGGGGGCTTTGCTCACAGTCAACCTTAAGCCTCCGACATGCGGACTACTGCGCACCGATCACCTCACCGACTGACTCTTCCGATGGGCCAAGCTGCCCCAGGGCGCGGATCTTGGTCTCGAAACGGAAGGTGCCGATGGCCTCCAACGACCAATGAGTCCGTGAGGTTTGATGGGGCGTCCGATGGGCGTCCTACCATACGCGGCGTAGTGCAGAATCCCGATCTAGCTGGATCCCACGGCTTGGTCGCTTTGGCTCAAATGTCTGTCTGCCCAGGCCGCCCAACGCCCAACGCCGGGCACCCTTAGAGGGGTCCCAAGCGACCGGCCCTTCCGCCATGTCCATGAGTCTCATCCAATCCAAACGAGGATGTTCTAAGAGGAATACACCTATTACAGTGCCCACAATGGATCCCACCGACATACTACCGAGCACCTGCGATCCGCTGTGGAAAATGCTCGAATATCGAAGTCCAAATTCATTCATCCTGTCAGGTGTCATGTGTTCTCGTGAGGTTTAGAATGGGGCTGGGATCTATCGACCCTTGCACTCTTTGGATCTTTGGAGAGGTATACAATATATAATAGTAAATATATATATATATATGTGTGTGTGTGTGCGCGTTTTCTTCTTTAGGATAATGTATGCATGTATATATACATGTGCCCGGAGCCCGGCCAAGGTCTCTTGAAAGCACAAGCAACGGACAGATCATCGGAAGAATCTACCTGACATACATGGACCCCTTTGAATTGAATGACCATTATGACCCAGGAATCCCTGGTCACTGAAATCCAAGTATTGAAATTGAACCCAAGTGAGCCTGTCTATGCCCCCCCAAAGGGTGCGAACATCGATTCCTGTTGGATCTTCCTAGCTCTCTTCCACCAAGTCGACTATTCAAGCTCGTCAGCCCCCAACCACAACAACAAGCAAAAAGAACACGACTGGTCATGATCATGAACCCTTGCACTTTTTGAGCATGTTGGCATGCTCAGTGTTCACCAGCAACATCTGTATTTTCATCGTTCCCGTCGGTGCCTCGATGACCCGCCGCAAGCGGAACTCCTCATTGGGGTCGAAGCACCGGCTGATAGAGCAATCCTGGATCCACGACCGTCGCGTTCGACACCCCACCACTCGCCCCTGGTCATCACACAAGTTGCTCCTTCGTGCCTCGTGGTTTGTGAAGAAGAACCCGCCTACCAACAAGCCAAGGACTACGGACCAAAAGAACTAATCCAACAAATCTTGCCGTTGAACGGTGCCCGGTGCATTTCACACCAAAACAGTTTCGGCCGGGCCTCTGGAGTCGGAGAAAAATCGGCAGAATGATTTCTGGAGGAATCAACACGAATGACCCTTGGGAATAACAAGGGGCCGGCGCTAGGAACCTAATACCTCTTGGCAGTGCACCACCGGAAGTGGGGCCTCATTCATAAATAAACCCGATTGTTGGACCAAGCTCCCCCAAAGCACTGCTGAGTAAAGCAGCACATGCACTGGTGGCTGTTGATTGATACAGCCCAGTTGGAAATTTAGAGCCATCCCGGTACACGGGGAGGATTGCCTATATACATCATGTCTACATGCTACATCACTCGAAGGAGCTGTTGCCGTGGCGCGGAGATTCTGATGTCGCTTCGTGCCCTTTTCCTCTTGCTAATGAACTCCTCGATGCACCCTCGGTATTCGACGATCTGGGCATGCTACCTCGGCCTCAAGGCCACGAAACGTTTCCTTGCATACCGTGCATACCTTGGGCCGCGTCCTTGCGGTATGTGTGACATAGGCCATGCACACCTGGAGTTTAGGTTGCCTGCTCAAAGCCGGCGGCCGTGGATATGTCGAATATGTTTGGGGTGCGTTGCTATTGAATCAAGGCCTGCACCATGAACAATTGTACTGATTCTCGGTTGTGGAGCCTTTGTTCAAAGCATCTGCCATATCTCTTGAACTTGTATCTGCCCAAATAAAACAACATAAATCTGCAAACATGTTTCTTCTCTTACTTTTAACTCGTGTATTAACAACATTTTGTCGTTTGGAGCGCCTGCAGGACCTTGTAAAGCTTTGCATTTGATCAAGGTGGAATTGCATTTGATTTCGGGGATCTTGTTTCTACCAGGCCCTCCATGTCCACCAGGCCCCCCGTGCCCACCCACCACCCAACCCCAGCAGGAGCAGCCACCAATTGGCAGCCGCTGTGATCCTGCGGCTCGGTTGCATGGCACGGGTATGGGAGGAAGTGGTTCTTGGTTTCTGGTTTCGTGTTGTTCCTGGCAAAGAAGCCAATCGGCTACTTGGGCCACTCCACTGGAGCCGCTCGAGGCACTTAGAAAATAAACAATCCACTCCATCCACTGGCCATATAGTGGAGCCGCCAAATAAATGGTAGATGCTAACTTGGCACCTTTTCCTTTAGTAGCCCACGTTGCAGGTTATCCCTGCTAGGGGCCGCCATGCATTAATCAGTGAGGTGCACTGTGGTAACTAATCAGGCGTGTTCCCTAGCGAGTGAAGTTGAGCCAATAAGTTGCGTCAATGAAAGTATGTGGGTTTCCTCCAAAATAATGTAAAGTTAGGATTAATAAATCCCCCCTAGTTGGCCCGAGCCCACAAAGCCGCGGGAAATTGCCCAAATTAAAAGTAGTATTGGTTGCTGATCTCCCACCCAATGGTCTAGTTTTCTACCAGAAATCCCCCCCCAGTTAATCCGAGCCCGCAACCAGGTCAATGTTTAGTACTACTACTCCTCCTCCTCGTCCTCCTTCTCCTCCTCCTCCTGCTGCTGCTGCTAGCTACTATCTACTATCTACTAGCTACTAGCTACTGCTGCTGCTACTGCTACTAGCTACTAGCTATTGCTGCTGCTGCTGCTGCTGCTCCTCCTCCTCCTACTACTACCTACTACCTACTACCTACCTGCCTACTGCCTACTGCCTACTGCCTACTACCTACTACCTACTACCTACTACCTACTACGTACTACCTACTACCTACTACCTACTACCTACTACCTACTACCTACTACCTACTACTACTACTGCTGCTGCTGCTGCTGCTGCTACTGCTACTGCTACTGCTACTCCTGCTACTACTACTGCCACTACTACTGCTGCTACGACGACCACCACCACCTACCCACCTACCCACCTACCTACCTACCTACCACCTACTACATTTTTGATGAAGTCCTAAAAAAATGTCTAGGCCTCCGCGCCTATAAATTGGCTTATTTCAAAAAACAAGCAAGACTACTAGTACCACTACTGCTGCTGCTGCGACTACCACTACTACTGCTGCTGCTGCTGCTACTACTACTATCCCCCTTGTGGAGGTCTCTGGGATCCGTGACTTCATTTTATAATAGAACAATCATTTATAAAATGGAAACCCACATGCTGCTGCGTTATAAACTGAGAACCCGACCTTTTTATATAATAGTGACCAGGATTCAGAGAGCAAAAAAAAATAAAATTTCAGAGGCACCTTTTGTCTCTTTATGGAATGGCGTTCCAGATCCAGTGATCATTTTGATCCGAAAATGGCCAATGTTTATGGAATGCAGAGCCAGGTTCGGCTTCACCCTCACAGGATCTCTTGCGACAGACTCAAAAAATCCTCTGTGCGGACAAGTCTGTGATTCTAACTTTCTAATCCCCCTTGTGGAGGTCTCTGGGGTGAGGGATTTGATTTTATAAGGAAAACCCATTTATAAAATGGAATCCCTCAGGCTGCTGCTTTATAAAATGAGAACCCGCACAGACAGGGTACCTAGCCACAGCACGCAAAGAGCACACAGACAGAATACCTAACTACAGCACACAAAGAGCACACAGACAGGGTAGCTAATTACAGCACACAAAGAGCACACAGACAGGGTAACTAACTACAGCAGACAAAGAGCCAAAGGGACCGCCAAGAGCACACCTGCCATTTGCTGTGTCAGCAGGGGGGGACGCTGTCATTTGTTTGCCCAGCCAGACGTGATCAAAACGCGGTCGTTTGTTTCCTCAGACGCGATCAAAACTTTTTTGTTTGCGTAGGGGGGCGACGGTGCACCAGCATCACCACATGGGTTCCAGCGCCAGCTCTCCACGCAACACGCGAAGCCCTTCGTGCCATATCGGCGCAATGCGACGTCCTGTAGCCGCTTCGCCGCATCGGCCTCTGGTAGAGATAGCGTGATCACCAGCTGTGTGAGGCTGTCTCATTCTATGGCGTCGAGCCAAGCCTGTGCTCGATTGAACCGATGGCATTTGTAGTTGCGCCTCACGCGGCCACCTGTTGCGAGTAGCCGCCAGCCAGCAGTTGGTCTTCGCGGATCTTTCGTCTTTGCCCTGCTCTCGGGGTTACTGGTAGCACAGAGTTCCGCGACGCGATTGCTCAGGCGAGTTCCAAGACCTGCTCTGACCTTCAAGTTGGGCCATCTTCTGTTGCGCGTCGCAACACTATGATCGCATAGAGATTGCCCGCTGAAGGGCATGTCCAATGGATCCTGTTGCCAGGAAATCCAACAAGATTGCAGTTCGGCAATCTCTGTTGCCTCCTGTCTTGCCAGGGCACCAATAGGATGGTGAGTTGCCACCTTCATCTCTGAGCACTCTCATGCACACGCACACACGCACAGGATGGTTTAGGTGTACCCCGTCCAAAAAATCTCATTTGTGGGCCATATGGTGGCCATGGGGCTTTGGCTTGATGGACTGAGTTGGGAAAGGTGGCTTGAAGGCTGAAGAGGTTCTACATCCAGCTTGTACCACTTGTACCACTGTGCAGTGTAGTATTATAGTCTTCAAAACTTAGAGTGTGGGTGGTCACTAGTTTCCACTTAAGAACTATATAGGTTCATACAATTGGGAGTTTATAGTGAACCAAAAGACTATAGACATGTACGGAGAGGTGTACCGAGAAAAACCCAACCCAACCCTCACCAACTCCTTCCCAGGACTCTCCACATAGTTGCACATCCGTGGGAGAAAGGTGGCCTGGCAGCAGTGGGCAAGGGCTGGAAGCAAAGTGGCTGAACACTGGCCTGGTCCAATTCACCACCACAAGTGTTTGAACTCAACTTTTTTTTCCATCTACTGCCTTGGCGTTTGGCTTCACTCAGATGCCAGTGCCCAGTGAAGCATGACCAACGTTGTTTTTTACAACTATTACGTTGCTTGACACATATCAGGGCCGTTTAGCACTGTTCACTGTTCACTTGAAGTTTCATTGGAAAACAAAAGGCTGCTGGCACCGTGACATCCTCGATCATCAAAATTACAGCATGTTGTGGCTGCAAGCCATTCAGTGACCATTTCATTTGCCAGCCAATTTGGCAAGTTTGGAAATTCCACGCGATGAGGGGCTCAAGCACTTTGGCCGCTTGGGTCTGAGTGATCTTGGCCTCTGTGTCTTCTTTCAAAGTGCAGAAACTTTAAAACACATGCAGTGCTGCAGTACACCTGATATTTATAATCTACAACTTTCACAATATTATATATAGTCCGTCTCAAACTTCCAGTTGTCAGGATCTTCGGTCACCTTGTGGTAGCACACCCTGATAGGCTTTGTCTTTCCTTTCGCTGCTGCCAGAGTGCCCGTTTGACCATCAAGGATGCCATATTTAAGTGTTGCCATCCGCCTCAAAGAGAATCTCAGAATCGGTCAACGGTTTGTCAGGTGCAGCCTCACGAAACTTTGCCTCTCCACATCCTGCCTGCTGCAAAGTCACCTTGGCAGCCACGAGTCTCAGTAGAGCAGCATTGCACCACATGGTTCAGTATACTATTTGCAATATCAATTTTTAATCACATCATAAATAAAAAATGGTCTTGTATTTTTCAACTCCACACCTCATGGCCAGTGCAGTTCTTGAAGGCAACGCCAACCTTCTTGTCAACGATGAGCTGGGGCATGGTGCTGAGCGTCTCAGCACAACGAGCATTCACAATCGCCACAACATCTTGCATTCCTGGAAGCGCTTCCAAGTCCACGAACTCCACAGTAGCATCAAGTGCACGCTTCTTGCTCAAAGTTTTGGCTGAAGGCTGAAGCTTCACAAAGGTCCCAAACGAGGCTTTGCCCTTGGTGTTCTTGGCGGGTTTGCTGTGGGGTGGCGGGTCAAGAACTTTGGTGAAAGTCTTGAAACTTCGCATTCTCAGCAAATTGTTTCTGGGCCATCTCAGGAATCTCAATGGTGACAATCTCCTTGTCCACCTGGAATTTGTTATTTCTTGGTCAGAGTGTGTGGCAGATGAATTTAAACAATACTACAGGATCGTGTCCGCAGTCATGGCAGGGCTTTTCTTCAGCAACCTGTCTAGACGGCATGTTCACATCCAGTTGCATGCCAGCTGCCAGTTGAACAGGCTCCCCTGCAGGCGTTCCAGTCAAGACTTCGCCGGTCAGCTCGGTCAACGATGTGGTGAACACATGCTGAAGCTGTGGTCGGCAACTGTATGGGCTCGACTGCTCCCAACTCCCCGCCCCTGTTGGATGCTGCGCTGCTACCGTCATCCACGCTCAGCTCTGAACTGCTGCGCCCAAGAACGTGAACTCAGCTGTGGAGCTAGTTATCTAAAGACGGCAATGATTGCTCGCCATGTCAATGAAGAACCATAAAGAACCCCAACAACACGCCCAAGAGTGTCACCACACTAACTGAGCGTCGGCAGCAAAGCACCAAGTGCTCCGGTACCAACTCAAAGTTGGTGCGATGATACGCATATCCCAATGCCACTGGCATAGCCATTGCTTCGCGCCCATTCCTCTTGCTAATGAATTCCTTGATGCACCCTCGGTATTCGACAATCTGGGCCTCGAGGCCACGAAACCTTTCCTTGCATACCGTGCACACCTTGGGCCGCATCCTTGCGGTATACGCTATGTGTGACATAGGCCATGTACACCTTGAGTGGGGAACCCGATGGGGGTTGCGCTGACCGTCTCCATCCTCTCTGAGTGAAAATTAATCTGAATACTGAATACCTCTGAAACTCTGAACCTCATAGGCGAGCGTGACCACTGAACCAAGGTCGCTCGTTTTCTCGCAGTCTGCCGCTCGTTTTCTCCCGATGTGTCGAGCCGAGATTCAAAGGTCGTGAGCTGGATCAAAGAAGATTGGCAAAGTGGGAAGACCATGAGCTGCTTCAAGGCCATGTCCATTGACATGAAGGACCTGATCGTACGAGCGGAGCTGGAACCGGACTTTGGGCCTTCAAAACCCATTTCGGTCCCTAATGGTTTGGTGACCTCCCCCGTCCCTATCACCAAAAGTCGCTGAGCCGCTCTCGACCGGACCTGGGCCTGGGCCCTTTTTGTTTCCATATGAGTATGATCGACAACTCCATGGATTCACTCAAAAATGGATCAGAAAGGACTCCAAAGGCTGTTGATTCATAAACCCAAACCATTTGGATGGTGAAACCTCTTCTATGCTGGTTTTTGATCAACAGCCTGCAATTAAGCAACGGTATGCTTAATGAACGCCATAAAGAAAACACACACCACATACACGAACAAAACGCTCTCAAAAAGCTCCGGGTGACAGCAACACGCAGAGCTCCCAAGCACACCAAAGACGAGTAGGATAAGTCTTTCCACACAAGCAAAGCATCTTCCTGCCGTGCTCCGTGCTCCGTGCTCCGCGACGTTTGGGACGCCATCGACACGGAAGAGCGTTCTGCGATGTTCTGCGATGTTCATGGAGAATCCAACGACCTCCGACCGCTCCGAGCGCTCCGACCTGGGAGCATCCTGGTTGACCCGGCTATAGGGTCTCTATAAACCATCCCCCAAGGCAAGGTGGTGCCTACAACAGCGAACAGTTCTGCGAACGCGGGTTCCCCAGCCTGCAGGACATGACATTCACCTCAGGTTTGCAAAGGAACGGCTGCACATGTTGTTTATTTAGATTTGGATAGTGACTGGGGGTTCCTCAGATTGGCTGGTACAATTCCTCCTGTAACTCCGAAATGTTTATTGATCGAAATCGGGCACTTTGCTTCGGTGATCCATTCGGAACCGTGGTCACTCTGATTCCTCATGCCACCAGCCGCTGCCGGTGGCCCTATGCTGCCATGGTGGCAGGGAGGACACGGAGCCCGTCAGCAAGATCTCGTTGGTCGATGCAGAACTTGTCCACCCACATGGTGGGATAGCCTAGGATTCGTCAACTTCATCACTGTGCAGAGTCCAAGAAGGGGGGGGTATACCAGGACACCCTAAGTCTATTGATAGCCCCTTAGAGGTTAAGGGGTGTTCATTAACCACCCCGACTGTGGGTTTAGTTTAGTAGGAATTCCCCCGAATTTCCCCTACCCTAATTGTCGGGTGGTCATTGATAAAGGACATTCAATCCCCGATCATATATAGAGAGGATTACGGAGGATGGTCCTCGATTGCTTGGTTGGCCTTGCCCTGCCTTGCTCTAATTGCTGCCTGGCTTTTCTTTACTTAATTACTTGCTTCCCTGCCTTGCCTCCTTTGTTTGCTTTTCTTGCTTTGCTAGCTTTGCTCGCCTTGCTTGTTTTGCCTTCTGTTCTCACTTGCCTGGTTGCATGTCTCATGAACCTGCTCTTTGGCCATTGAATCATTGATTGATCTCGATTCTTGATTCATATCTTCACCCAGCACCGGAACTCGAATAGGAACTGGCATCAGCCCGCCCGGCCGGACTGCTCCCAGGATTGATCGCACGACTGCGACCACGCAAACGACCGACCCCCTGCGAGCTTGTATGCGTGTTGGCTCCAAGGAAAGAAGATTACCACCCTGAATTCTTGTCAAGTTGAGACAGCACATGGTAAAACAACGATGAGTGCAAACCTAAATGACATGCTTGTGCAGACTATGTATAAACAATACATTTTACTGCATCATTTACTTTAATCCAGCTTAAGCCTTCAAAGGAAAATGAGACGTCATCCCGTGCTAAATGCGCTTCCCGCCGTGTCACGACCCTTCTGTTCGTAGAACCTCTGCACCACAATCTGCCTCAGGGTCAAATTGGGCCACTGGGCCATCTGGCCCAATACTCGACGCATGGGGTGCAAATATTAGACAGATGGACCCAAGCGATGGATTTCAATCTATCCCTGAGGCTCCATGTATGACACAGTTGCCTACGTGGTCATGTCTGCTCATTTGACTCACGGAGGCCATGTAGTTGATGTTTCTATACGGTCAAAGCCTCGCACACCTCCGCCACATGCCGCCCGCGACCTTGTAACCCACGACCTGCACCTGCACCGGCGCCCCTGCAAAACGACACAGCCCCTCCTCTGCACTACGTACACACCTGCACCCGTCCTTTCTGGGAGATAATCTCACTTGGTCTTAGTTGGCATGTAACTACTTAGTGCTGTGTGTCTGTGTGGATCGCCTCCTTTCCATTTCTTTTCCTCACTCCTCCGAACCCTTCGGACTAAAGCCAGATCTCTGCCGAAGTGCAAGGCCTTCCACTTCCGCTCCGGAGAGTCGCTCCAGCTGTGGGACACGAAGAAGTCGATGACTTCCGTCCGGCCCAGTGGACGCGAGAATTCAAAGCCTCGGCCCGGTCGGAGGTGGTTGGGTTCGACAGTGGCGGGGACCGTGGGGGCGATGAAATGCGAACGACCACCCCCATCTTGAGTCAGCCAGAAGCTTGTGACTGCTCTACCTTATCCTTGGGATTCATTGGGCGGCGGCCCCCCCAAACCTGCATGACCGAGTCAACAAAGGTGTTGAACATTGGATGATAATTTTCCAGGCACCAGGACCTATTGGCCGGTCCATCACCACCAGCCAGCTTTGGGCCCCACAGGGAGAATTGCTGGTGAGCGGCCATGGCCCTCCTTGTCCCTCCAAAGGTCTTTGGAATCAGCAATGCTCAAAAAAACCTCTTCAATGAAACTGAAATCTCCCACAACTGCTGGATCTGGACCAAAACATGGCACTTCAAACTCTTCCAACCCGAGGCTCGAAGCTTTGTGACGTCCATTCGATGCAGCGCAGTTTG